ATAGCACTTTGACTATCACAAAATACTCTAAGAACACCTTGTGCTAAACCAAGTTCATTTACCAAACCTCGGAGCCAAATAGCCTCCTTCACACCCTCTGTAGCTGAAATATATTCAGCTTCAGTCGTAGATAATGCAGCAATGGACTGAAGAGTAGCTTTCCAGCTGATAGCACTATTACAGATAGTAAAGATGTAACCAGAAAGAGATCTCCTTCTGTCATTGTCACCAGCATAATCCGAATCAACATAACCTACAACATCATTGGGTGTAGCCTTGCTTCTGTCAAATACCAAACCAATGTCAGAAGTACCTTTTAGATACCGAAAAATCCACTTTACAGCACTCCAGTGATCCTTGCCAGGATTATGCATATATCGACTCACCATGCTGGCAGCATATGCTAAATCTGGTCTAGTGCACACCATAGCGTACATAAGACTACCAACTGCACTGGCGTAAGGAACATGTGACATACGCTCCACCTCCTCCTCTGTATGTGGGCAAAGATCTGAGGATAACTTGAAATGTGCAGCAAGTGGAGTAGAAACAGGTTTGCAAACATTCATATTAAACCTTTCAAGCACTCTCTCAATATACTTCTGTTGAGATAAGAATAGTTTACCAGCTTGACGGTCCCTGTGAATCTCCATACCAAGAATTTTCTTGGCTGCACCTAATTCTTTCATCTCAAACTCATTATTAAGTTGAGTTTTCAATTTCCTGATCAAAGACTTGTTACGTGAAGCAATTAACATATCATCAACATAAAGTAACAAGTATATGAAAGATCCATCTGGAAATTTTTGGAAATAAATACAGTCATCAAATTGACTCCTGTAATATCCTTGCCCAATCATAAAAGAATCAAACCTCTTATACCACTGCCTTGGAGCTTGTTTAAGGCCATATAAAGATTTCTTCAATCGGCAGACAAGATGCTCCTTATCTGGAACAATAAACCCCTCGGGTTGTTCCATGTATATTTCTTCTTCTAACTCTCCATGTAGAAAAGCTGTCTTTACATCAAGTTGCTCCAATTCCAAATCAAATAAAGCAACAAAAGCAAGCAAAACACGAATGGAAGTATGACGAACAACAGGTGAGAATATCTCATTAAAGTCAATACCTTCCTTTTGATTGAAGCCTTTAACAACTAGTCTTGCTTTGCATCTTGGATCTTCAACCCCGGGAATGCCATCTTTCTTCTTATAGACCCATTTACATCTCAATGATCGTTTGCCTTTGGGAAGCTCTGTCAAAACCCAAGTACCATTCTTATGAAGACTTTCCATTTCTTCATTCATAGCCACCAGCCACTGTGAAGAATCAACACAAGAAACAGCTTCTCTATAGCTGGCAGGTTCAGCACCATCATTTACCTCTTGTGCTACAGACAATGCATAAGCAATTAAATTATCACCATCAGTGTACCTCGCTGGCCTTTTAATTTGTCTTTTAGCTCTGTCTCGGGCAAGACAATAATCATCTCCTTGTTGATGAATAGGAGAAGTGGTACTATCATCACAATCAACATAATGATCATCAATGGTTGATTCATTTGTAGAGGAAGATGGAACGTCAACGTTAGGAGCTGCAGGCTTTACTATCAACTCCACCTTCTCGCTAGTACCCTGTAGATTACCTGTAATAGTAGAAGAAGACACAACAGATTGTTTTCCGGAAGATAATAATGCATCCTCGTTAAAAGTCACATCTCTACTAAGAATTAATTTCCGTGACTTTGAATCGGAACACCATAAGCGATATCCCTTAGACTCAGATGCATAACCAAGAAATATGCACTCAACAGCTCTTGGAGCTAATTTACCATCATTAACATGTGCATAAGCAGGACATCCAAATATTCTTAAATTAGAATAATCAACGGGATTACCTGACCAAATTTCTTCTGGAACTTTGAAGTCAAGTGCCGAATGTGGAGAACGGTTGACCAAGTAACAAGCAGTAGATGCTGCCTCAGCCCAAAGTTCACGCCGATGCCATAACCCAGCATTTGAGAGCATACAACGAGCTCTCTCAAGTAGAGTTCTGTTCATCCGTTCTGCAACACCATTTTGCTGGGGATTCCTTGGAATGGTTTTGTGTCTGGCAATACCATGATTTGTGCAGAACTCATTAAATTCACCATTACAGAACTCTAACCCATTGTCTGTTCTGAGCTTTTTCACCTTTTTCCCTGTTTGGGTTTCAACAAGAGTTTTCCACTTTTTGAAAGTGGAGAAAGTTTCATTTTTATGCCGCAGAAAATAAACCCAAACTTTACGAGAAAAATCATCAATGATAGTCATCATATAGCGGCATCCTCCATGGGAAGGAACTTTAGAAGGCCCCCAAAGGTCAGAATGAATATAATCAAGAATACCTTTGGTACGGTGAGTTGCAGTAGAGAAACTAACCTTTTTCTGTTTCCCAAAAACACAATGTTTGCAAAACTCCAACTTACCGATGCCATGTTTACCAAGATGACCTTGCTTGCTCAAAAGGTGCATGCCTTTTTCACTCATATGGCCCAGACGCATGTGCCATAATTTGGTGACATCATTATCAGGCATTGAAGAAGATACAGCTGCTGAACCTGTCACAACAGAGCCTTGCAAGACATATAAGCTACCAACTCGGTTAGCCTTTAATAATACAAGAGCACCTTTCGATACTTTTAGAACTCCACCTTCAGCTGAATACCTGCACCCTAGAGACTCTAGGGTGCCAAGAGAAATTAAGTTCCGCTTCAAATCTGGAATATAGCGGACATCAGCCAAAGTTCTGACAACACCATCATGAGTCTTGATCTGAACTGTACCTATTCCTGCAACCTTGCATTGAGTATCATTTCCCATTAAAACAACACCACTGTCAACACATTCAAAAGTGGTGAATAAGTCCTTATAAGGACACATATGAAAAGTACATCCAGAATCAAGAATCCATTCTATTTTACTCCTCTTATTAGAAGAGACAACAGATAAAAGAACATCACCGTCAGAGTCGGCTTCAATATTAGCAGCTTCAGGGGATTGTTGAGTTTTTCCTCTCTCTTGTTTTTCTTGCTTTTTCTTCAAGATGAAACAATCAGGAATGTCATGCCCTGGTTTCTTGCAATAGCGACAGGTTTTGTTGGATTTGCGGCCTCTGGATTTGGATCTGAACCTTTTATAACTGGTACTCCCCTTTTCTTGAGTTCTACCACGAACACTTAAGCCCTCACCCTTGTCCACGGAATTAACTTCAAGATCAAACTTTTCTTTGGACAATAAATTAGATTTAACATCTTCAAAGGATAAGGTATCATTATTTCCATACAACATGATTTCTTTGAAGTGTTTGTAGGTAGAAGGTAAAGAGACAACCAACAAAACAGCTTTGTCTTCATCTTCAATATTGATATCAATATTTTGCAGATCCATAATGATAGAGTTAAAATCATCAAGATGAGTTTGAATAGGAGTACCTTCAACCATACGAAAAGTATATAACCTTTCTTTGAGACGAAGCTTGTTTGCGAGGCTCTTGGTCATGTATAAGGCTTCTAGCTTTAGCCACAAAGCCGCAGCGGTTTCTTCATTGGCAACTTCACGAAGAACCTCCTTGGACAAACAAAGTTGGATTGTTGAAAGCGCCTTTTCGTCCAACTCGTCCCACTGGTCATCAGTCATGGAAGCTGGTTTCTTTGACTTCCCATCTAAAGCTTTCTTTAATCCGCTCTGGATAAGAACGACCCTCATTTGGACTCGCCAAATAGAAAAGCTAATCTTGCCATCAAACTTCTCAATGTCAAATTTAGACATTTTGAAATTCTCAATTGAGTAAGAGCTCTGATACCACTTGTTAGAGATAGAGCGCAATGCGGAAGCACAAGATCGGATCAATTGAGAACAAAAGAGAAGGAATGAAATAAGCAAGAAAATAACACACAATATTTAACGTGGAAAAAACCCCCTCAGTGTGAGAGGTAAAAAACCACGGGCGCTCACGAGCAAAATTCCACTATGTAAAAAAGGAGAGTACAACAAATCTTCTTATAATGATGAAGACAAAGAGTAATATTTTCTCTCACAAATACTCTCTCAAATGGAACAAGAATTCTCACCACAAAACACTCATACAAAATAACAAAACACTCAAAGTATGATGTAAGGTGCTTGTGATTATAGAAGTGTTGAATTTTGTGATGCATTGATGCTCTCCAGGATGTTGCTTTTATAGGCAAAATAATTGTATAAGAGAAGCCATAAAGCTTGGAGAGCAAGGCGTGGATTCTTGGGAGGCAAGCCATATAAATGCTTGGCAAGCAAGCTTAAAAAAGGACTTGGCAAGCAAGTCTTCAAAGCTTGGCAAGGAAGCTTGCATTATATATATATATATATATATATATATATATATATATATATATATATATATATATATATATATATATATATATATGAGAGACATATTTTAACAGTATAACATTGTTGTCTTGCTTGCCATGCACTGGCTTTTCTAAACAGTAAAGGAACCTTAGAAAGTTGTGGAAATTAAACCACTTAATGTGCACCAGTGAATTGATCAAACATCATCATTATCATCAGCTATCATATCTCCACCATCCATTCCTTCCTTCACTCCTATATATATATATATGTATAGCTGGCTCTTTAGTGTTGCAAAGAAGGTCAAAAAAACAAAAAACAAACAACTTGAGGGAATTGAAGGTGTAAAACTTTAGTTCAAGTTGTGAGTGTTGGTAGTTAGAAAAAAGGAAAAGGGGTCAAGGGCAGATGGAAAACTAGAAAGAAAGAAAGAAAATAACCCTAATTTATCTCTTCAATGAATAGAAGAGAATGAGTAACTGGGTCTGTGTGTAATATTACAATTAAGTATAGTTGAGTGCAGAACAATAGTTTGGCATAAAAGGGTAGTTATATTTGAAGCTTTAGATCTGTGTTATCAGAATTATGGAAGAGAAATGCATAAAAGATGAGGAACATAAGAGAGAGTTGACAGAAGAGAGTGAGCACATACTTTTGGTGATTGTATGAATACATACATTTGCGGGTGCGTGCTCACTTTTCTTTCTGTCATCTTCATATTTTTAATTCCCATCTTCTTTTATAACTTCTCTTCAATTCAGGGTTCTTTATTCAGCTCAAAAAACTTACCTCTTTAGTCTTCTGTTTTTAGATGTGTCTCTTGGAGTCACAAGAGTCATATAACTTTAGTATGATCGAAGGTACTCAAACCGAGTACAAGTTGTCTATACCATTTTTTTATGCTAATTTTATATGTCATCAATTACAAACTCACATTTATGTTTTGTTAACTTTTGGTTAGTTATTATGGTACAACTTTAATTAACATATCAATTTGTAATTTATGACACACAGAAGTGACATAGACAACTTGTCCTCAATTAAATACGTTCGAATGACACATCGAGTAGTATTGACAAGATCCTTCGTTATGTGTGTAATTTTTTGTGTCTAGACAAATGGATGAACATGAAGCATACAAGTGGTTTGTATTTTCAACGTTCAAAGTGTTGCAGTTTCGGTGGAAAGCGTGCACTGACAAACCCTATCTTTTTACAGTGCCACTGCGATAGAATCTAGTGTCTCTAGTTTCTTCTACTATTTATTTCATTATTGTAACATTATTAATATTTCATATATTTAATGTGATATATTATTATACTAATATTATAATTGTACAGTTGTGATGGATCTTCAAATTGGTACTCTCCTTCTTGGAGGAACAATTAAACGGAAATCTTGAAGGTACGCTTTGTAGCTGTTCATTTTTTAACAGAAAACTGTTTATTGGATTCAGTTATATATATTCATGTCAATTAATGACATTATTATTATAATTGTGTTGTAGATTCAAATTGGTACTCTCCTTCATGAAGAACAGAAAACCCAATTAAACAGAAATCTTGAAGGTACCCTTTGTTGCTGTTCATTTTTTAACAGAAAACTGTTTGTTGGGTTCAGTTTCATATATATATAATGTACCTAAATAATGATATTATTTATTTTTTTCCTTTCTCTCTTTATTATCCACCATTAGAGAGATTTATAACCCTAGGTCTAAAGACACTTTTCTCTATTTTGGTTCAGATTTAGGGCTTGACGACCCTTTTTCATCTTTGATTTGTTGTTCTCAGTAAAGAAAAAAATTATGCATTTCTACTTTAATTTTAAGTTTAATTGAAGGGTCAGAATCAGATGAAACGAACATAAATAACACTATTGGGAAATTGCTACAAGGCATGTAGTAACTGATGAGTAGCAAAGATTATTTATTTATTTATTGGGTTTTCCTTCTCCGGATGTTATGTATTTGTGTATTACTGTAATTAGTAACATTCCTTATTTGGAGTTTTTCTAATCTGCAAACTTCAGATTGTTTATTTTATCTCCTTTTAGTTTATCAGTTGATTAAATATTTATTTTTCTCTGAACTCCAATATTTATGAGTATTATCTTAATCACCAACCTCTTGAAAATCTTCATATATGATGTTGGTCGGCTTTATGAGTATTGGAAATTGTGAGAAACAAGTGTTGATAATTTTTTTATTTTCTGGAAATCGATGGATTGATTGTTAATAAAATAGTTGAATGATTCTATTTATTGTTGGAAACAGTTTGGTGGGATTAAGGGTAAGGGTAATGTTTTAAATTGCGGTTACCACAATTGCAGGAAAATGAGGCGGTAATTGCAGCCCGATGCCGCCGTTATTAAAATTGAGAAGCATGAATGCTTCAAAATTAGTATCTGTATGTATTCATCTTTTAGCCCATTTAAGATGCTTACCCATATTGGCTTTGGTATCTATTAGGCTTGATAATGTGCAGCTATTCCAAGAGAGAGGCGTCAAAATCTCTACGGAAGAAATTCGAGCATTGTATCGTCATTCAGGTAACAATTTTTAAACGGTATCAAATTTAGCTTAATCCGTATATGTATTTCATGAATACTGCTGCCTGTTCAATTTACCTATTCGATTGATTTACTCTCATTTTTGGGTTTCTTTATGTCTTCTCTACACTTACTTATCGAAGGCAATATTATACTATGATTTTAAAACATTATCACCTCAACTTTCTATCTAATGCATCATTATTAATCATAGTTCTAGCATAGTCTCAAATTTCACCACAATGTTTAAATTAGTCTACTTCCATCCATACACTCCATCTTGCTTGTACTAAAACTAAAGTCATATAGTTCCGAAGTTTGTCTTCGTATCTTTAGCTTCTTATTTACTCTCTCTCTCTCTCTCTCTCTCTCTTGACTCTTAATATTAGGGAGTATCATCTGCAGTGTTTTAAATTGTTGTTAAGTCACATTTACCGTAATTATAGAAAATTGCGGAAAATTTGACCTTGCGAAGCCGTTGCAAAGACTTGTAAAACCTCAATATTGTGGTTGTAATTGCGATTGTAGATTGCAATTTATAAAACTTTTCCTTCTTCAAGAAGATTCTTTTACCTTAGACTCGACATAATTTTGGTCCTCCATTATAGTGTTTAGCATATTTGAGTGCCATAAAATCATGTCACTCATTAACTAACTTGTGAAAGTAACGCTTCTCTCTCATTTTCTCTTATTCTATAACCAAGAGTGAACCCTCTTTACTTATAATGCATTCACTTGGCCGAAGTATCTTGTGTTCTTTCCCTACATTTAGCATGTCCATAAATAATTCTACTGCATGTTTGATACCTAAGGATTGGTATAGCTTGTCAAATGCTCTACCTCTCGTTTTCCTAACCACGTACTTGGTATCTTTATTAGCTACTTTATATTATCCCCAAATTTAAGCCATTTTACACTACGACTATGCATTATAAAATCCTCTTTTAACCTAGACCTTATTTTAAACATTTGAGTTTTTTTATTGACAAATAATTGATTAAATTAAAAGGTATCAGTGGTACAAAAAATTACTTGGAAAATAGTTAAATAAAACCTCATAAGTGCAGCTAGTGGATAGTCTCGGAATAGTATGACATTAAACATTTGCATGGGTTATAGTCCCATTCAGAGTAAGACAATACACAATTTCGCTTTTTCTTTGAATTCATAGCTATGATTTCATCTTTGCAATCTCCGCAATTTGCTGGATAGTCGCCTTGGTAAAGTTGAAAAGGACCGCATTCCTTGCAAGCCAGATTGATCGGGTTGTTTATAGCCAGATGATGCTCCAAAGTTTCCGACACTTTTTGTTGATTGGTAGGCTCTTGTACATTATGAAATGCCTTGTAATTTGGGGAGAGCAATTTCAAAATTAAGCCAATTATAGATCTTCTGCCGAAGTAGATATGTGAACCTACACGATGAGAGTAGGTGTTGAGAAGTTTTTAGTTCCTCGTTGCAAAGCCTATAGGTAGTCCCTCCTTGTAATTGTATAATTCCTCTCTTTGGCAATGCTTTCATTATTGGTAATTTTTGTTGGAATATTATGTATGTAAGTGCAGTGACCTTCAAGGGGCTTTATATTCCCATTGTGTTTGAAAGTAATTTGTTCATGCTCGTGATTGTTCACCAATGTAAGAAGAAACGTGTATGTTGATTTGACGGAGTATTGGCCAGATTGTTCATGGAGCCATTCCCAACGATCTTCCATGTCTTTCCTCAAGGTAGCATGTTGTGAAACCTACGTAAGATTATCAATTAGTTCAAATTCTCAATCAAAAGGATGTCTCCTCCAAGTAAATGACCATCTCCAAACTCCGCCCGACCAACTTCCCAAGTCGCATATGTGAGTGTGCCTACCCACACTTAAGCTTTAAAGCCTATTGTGCCTAACCTTAATCTATTCTGAGTCTAACCACTTATCATGCCATAATCTAGTGTTCTTCCCATTACCCTCCCTCCTCTTAATATTGCCCTGAAACCATCTCATATCCACAAGGGTCTTCGAATCTAATTTACACAAGTCTCTAATCCGTAATGGTCTTTTTTTCAACGGGATAAGTGAATTACTCCCAATTTGTTCTAATCTATATCTTCTATATTTAGACTTGTTGGGGATGCTTGAAATATGTTATTACATTAGTCTCACATCATGTAGTATTGGAATAAGGTAGAGTGACCAATGTTATATATTGGACTCAGATCCCTTGTTATATATTGGGCCCATGGGTGTGATAGGGTTTGTAATCCTTATTCTACAATAATATCTTGGTAGCCGCTCAGCGATCCCGGGACGTAGACACAATTGGCCGAACCCCGTTACCAAATTCTGTTTTTTCTCTTCTATTTATTATATGCATTATTTGATTGTTTGTGATCAATGCTGCGCAACGACCGCTTCCGTTGCACCAACAATTGGTAGATGACTCTTAACCCAAGTGCTAGATAAAGTCAAAAGAGGGTGAAAGCATGTTGGTTAGACAAGGTGCGTCAAAAGTACTATGCAAGGATAAATGAAATGAGTTGAAGGAGAAGAAAATATGGCGGAACTATGGTGGGGGCGATATATGTTGATCCAGAATCCTAGAAGTCCATGTATTGAATTAGGATCAAGGTGGAGATAGGAACTCAGGTGTTGAGTTTGACCCTAAGATAGGTGCTGACTGACTTTGATGCAGGGTGTAACATGGGCATTGGCTTTGATGCAAGGTGTAACACGAGCATTGGTAGAGATGCAGGGTGTGACATGGGCATTGGCTTGGATGCAAGGATGTGACACGAGCATTGGTTAGCATTGACGCAAGGTGTGCGTTGTGGGTATACTCCTTATGGTGGAGTATGATAGTTCTTTTGAACTATGATTGTCGGGCTATACAATGGTGGTAGCGATTAAGGCTTTCCAATGAAGCTCCAAGGTTCAGCTTGACTGAGTATTGAAGAGGACGGTTGTTGGTGAACTTTTGTGTAGAGGTTCCATATATCGAAAGACTTCCTAGCAATAGGTGGCTAGGCGGCGTGTTCCATTAGATGGCGGTACGGGAATGTGCACTAAAAGTTTGGAGAGCTAGGCTCTTGGTAACATCGTCAAGGATACTCATAAGGTTTATACTGAAGGGGAGCATACTCTTATGTGGAGTTATTAGAGAAGATTATGCATTGAGC